AAAAATGGTTTTCAGATGATAACTTTAGTTGTCTTTGAGTTTTTTTTTCAATGAAATAATTTTATATCTCCCAATGACATAAGGAACACACTTATTGATTTTTAGGTCAATGGGTCAAGGTCAAATATTCATATCTTGCACAAAATGGTTTCCTGGTGATAATTTCAGTTTTCTTTGAAATTTTGCAAATATGTTTTATACCTTTCGTCGATATGTTTTATAAAAAAAAACCTATTGATTTTTAAATAGGTCAGAGGAAAAGGTCAGAAATTCATATCTTGCATACATCGTCTTCAGATGATGACTTTACTTTTCTGTAAACTTTTGCAATGAAACGTAAGGTCATGAATTTCCTTAACTTAAAAAAGACCCATATTGACTTTAAAGCCAAGAGCTGAAAGGTCAAGGTCGACTCCTTTTCTTTCCTCCATCTGCAATTTATCCATGTCTTCAGCAATTTTCTTTTTCCTTAAGCGGGGGACACAAATTCCCTGAATAAACTTTTTTCTTTAAGTTTTTCTTTAAGATAATGACCTAAAAAATTAGTAAACCGATAGCAAAAAATCATGGGAAATGGAACTGTTTAACAAAATCAGTTTATATTTGTTTGATCTAAAATTTCCTTTTTATATAATTTTTTAAGATACCAACCGAGAAATTTGTTTATTGAAATGTTTCAAATGATTAACTATTATCATGTGCACGTCATTTCTTTTTTTTTCAACAAAGATCAAACTTGAATTAATTAAACATCCTTTTTCTAGGGATAATGTTTTAATCATACAAAGGACTCACAGGATTTAGCTAAAGCATCTTAAAAAAGAAGAAAATGGAAGAGCAGCTAAGTGAAAATTACCTGCAATTCACATAAATCATCGTTCTATTTTCTGCGTCTTACGTAATATGTTTTATCCTCTTCAGTTAATGAACCAAACTTTTGGTGTTCACTCAAATGGTATGAAACATTCTGTGTAAAAATTTCCACCATATACGCACATATCGCGTGTTGCTTTTTGTTTATTATTATTTTTTTTTTATTTTAATTTCAACTTAATATCGCCACTCTTTTGATTTTGATTATATTTTGAAAAAGAATTTAAATTTGTATTTTTCCCCTTCGAAATGTACATATACGGAAAATAAAAGAACCAACCATCATAATAACAACCGCTACCTGAGTTTTCCATTAATGAGCAATGATTCTCCAAATATTCCAGGACTTGACTCGAGGAACTTGCTGACCATTCAATTTTATTTGAAATAAGATAAAATTATACGGATTGAAAAATTGTTGCATATTAGGATTTGCGTATGCAAACTTTTATCGTTTTTAAAATCTTTGGTTATCTCATTTTTCAGCGGGAGCAAGACTTGTTCATTAAATTTTATCTCTCCAGTAATGTCATAGTCAACTTCAAACCCTCTTTATCGATTCTTAATTCAAAATGTTGAACATCTCTCCTGATTTTGTGTGCGTGCGTGTGTTTAATAAATCCTAGGTCTTTTTCGTAGATGGAGTAACAGAAGGTTGTTTAAAAATGACCCCTAACTCCCGTAGGAACTATCTGGAATGTTTTAACGTCACCATAGAAGGTACATGTACATACACATGTATTTACATACACCCAGCTTGAAACCACGGTTTTCCAGTGTTCGGATGTTGCAGTCTACATTTGCTTTATCTATTTCAAACAAGTGTATTCCACTGAAAATTGACTATATTTTTGCTTCCAAAAAATCTACATCTCCAATGGAGGTGTTTTTTAAGGAATATAAGCACATTTCACTCGGTTTATGGAATCACTGTCTCATAGCATATTGCATTCACTTAAATATATATTGAGTATCAATCGGTCATCCATATCGCTGGTCATCATCTATAATATCATTTCACCAACCGTGGAGAAGCGATATTTCAGTTTATGATATTCTACGGAGAGTTTTGTGACGTGCCATAATTAATGAATTTTCATGTGAAGATAATGCAAAGAAAACTGTTTATCTTTTAGTTCCAGTGAATGAATAATGAATTAACTTTTTAAAAAAAACATGATTGCATGTATAACTCCTCTGGTATGAGAGGGCGGAGTTATCCTCATATGTTGATAACCATCCTCTATTTCTTCCCTTAATAAATTGTCGGCATTTTCTTGTAGTTTCTTTACCTTATTTAAACGTTGTCTTTATCGAAAATTTAAAAGCTAAATTTGCTCTTTTTTCTTAAATTCAGTTCTATATTTCTTTTTATATATTTTGCAAAATGCAAGAATCATTTACTGCTCGTTCTTATTCTTGTTCAGTTTCTCTACAAGGAACCTTAATTATAATTTATTGACAGATTTCACGAAAGGTTTCATTGCGATTTTATGTCATAAAAAGAAAAGCTTTGTCAATTCCTGATGAAATATATCAATATACAATGTCTTATCAAAATTGATTTGAAAATGCAATGTGCATGCTGCCATGCAATATCAACATCAAAATTTTGTTTTATTTCTAGACTACAAAAAATAAATAGGATGAAATTGACTCTCGATTTCAACTCCAAAACAATTTATTTCTAAAAGAGTGCTTTTGATGGCGATTTCCTTTTTACATGGAAGAATACCTTTATAAATAAATACATGTAGCACGCTATACATACATACATATTTTTACCAAAAACAAAGAATAAGTCGGTGTTTTCGTTTCATTTTTGAATGATAAAGGTTAACAAGTCGTAGAAGGTATGTATAAATGTTTCCTTTTTGAATTCTTAGACATGAAAAGATATTGTAAACGATTATGAACGATTTATCGATAATCGAACAAGCTGTATTTGTGAAAACTGATGCCCCCGTATGGAAGCTAAAGGCCAAGGTTCAAGTTTTTCAAAAGTAGGTCAAACTCCAAGGTCAAGGTCAAAATGTTACCCAAAGAAAAGTTTGATACATGGAATACACTAACTGTCTTGTGAAATATTAATGCACTAGCATCAACTGCTCAAAAGTTATGACCAAGGTTAAAGTTTGATAAAATTTTCAAAAGTAGGTTAGTCTCCAAGTTCAGAGTCAGGAGGTCAAATATGTTGGTACCCAAAGAAAGGTCTTGTCACAAGGAATACATACAGTGTATGTGAAATATGAAAGCGGCTTTAGTCCTAGAAACAACCATTCGAAAGTTATGGGCAAGTTAAGTGTTTGCTGACAACAGACAAACAGACGGATGGACAGACAGACCAAAAACTATTTGCCCCGAATCTTCGATTATGGGGGCATAAAAATCACATAATAATTAAAAATCAATTTTCATTACTATGCACATGGTAATAAATGATGTATTTTTCTTGACACAAATGCACTTTCAAAAAATAATTTTTTTTTTAAATATAACACGATAATTTCTGTATAAAGAGGGCACAATACGTGCTTCAAAAGAACGGCCTTAAATTTATCACGGTGACTGATCAGAAGTTCAAATCTATTCAGGTGTAGCTTAAATTTCTGCTTCCTCCTGATGATTGAGTGATTTTAAAGAATTTCAATTAATTCCTGTGGGCTTCTATCATTTTTGCTCTCAGTCCATCCACAAATACATGTATAGTTGATTTCACTTGCATGCATGGTTACCCAGAGACACAAGCCGGAACTGCCTAAACTACTTCCGGATCCTAATGCTAATCCAAAATGTTATCGCTATCAATCATGTACAGACTACTTATTGCAGGCTAGAGTTGGTCTAATTCAATCTCACCAAATCGATAATCCAAATAATCATCAATTTAGAAGTATAATTAGGGGGAAAATCAAATCTCATATCGTAAAAATCAATTTTTCCACTGAATTCTTCAGGAATCATTGCCCGCGGTTCTAGACTTAAGATGAGGGCTAAACATCTATTTTCTGTTCAATTACATCTTGCAAGTGAAATCGACAATTTCTTTAGCTTCATTTTATCCCTATGATAATGAAAATTGCAACGAGCCTTGCAGGGATGGAAAATCGTAGCCATTAAGGGCAATTAACATACTTTATCGTGCATTTCCTTATCTGATATATTTGCATGCCACCCCCACCGACTGCAGTTGACAGCATTTGACAACATGATAATATACCCTTGAATTTAATATGCCTAATGACGTGTCTTTACTGCATTTACTGGGTTTAGTGCAATATGTTTGATTTTTTTCCCTGAATAAACACCAATATCGCAAAAGCTAACAATTATTCTTTTGGGGTATTAGTGCACTCTAACATTTATTTCAGATATCTTTACTGAAAATCAATGACACCACTATAGTTTTATGACAATACTCCAAAGAACACAATTTTTATCTATAACTGATTGAGATTTATAAACATGCAGAAAAGCGACAACGGTAGCAAATTTCGAAATATAATTATCATTTTCAAGGTCTAAACGCTGTAAAAATACAAGTAGGTAAATATGTCCAGATGTTCACATAATTTGGATTTAACGTGTTGAGATGAACCTGTGAGCTCATAAAGCCAGGACGATATTCGCAAATCGCACTCCGCTGTAACTTTTGCTTTTTGATATTTTTCCTCCTTGCGGTAGATTCACATGGACTATGTACGTGTGATTGTGACACTGAAAGCAACATTCTTAAAAAGATTTTTATTTTATTTTGTACATACTCCTGTAGTCTTTACATTGTTCATTTTGCAAGGGTGAGAAGAAAAACCTCGTTTCTTAAAGGCGTGATGTGATTTATCATTTTTGTTTTATTCTCATGCCAGTTACTTTATTAGTATAATTGTGAATTAAAAATAGAACTTTTGTTAAGCGGAAATAACCCAAAAGAACTAAGATCATTAATCTTGAATTTCAACAAATCAAATTTGGACAGAAATTGAATCCAAACGTTAAACAAAAGTTTAAGAGCCTCGCACTATTTTACTATATTTGATTGACGTATAGAGCACATTTTCCAGTCAGCTGCTATTAGAGAACTTGCGAGGTGTGAGGCAAGTGCAGCATTTTCCAATATAGTGTTATTTGTAGACATTTAGAAGGAGCGACAAAAATTATCGCCTGTTATTATTCACATAATCGATCACAAGGCGGACAAAATACTACATTCAAACAAATGAAAATTGATTTTGCCGGTAAAACTAGAAAACGACGGACTGATTCCCTATACATGTATTATAACAGGAACGAATTTTAGATTCTGGATTAGATTTTACAGGTACTATGAAGATTCAACATTTTGAAAGACGGACAAACTTAAATTTCGACAACGAAGTGATAAAGCAAATAGTTCTTATGCAGTGTAAGTACATGTCTTAGATACATCGATCTTTGCTAAAAGCTTCTTAATTTACGATCTGGATCTATATTTTTAATTTACCTGCTTTGATGAGGTGAGTCTCTCCTTCTCTCTCTCTCATTTTTTCTCATGAGCGTAATTCAGTTTTTTTCGATTATATATATATATATATATATATATATATATATATATATATATATATATATATATATATATATATATATATATATATATTGTATTTGTGTATCTAAATATTTGTGTTTTTGTTTTATATGTATAAATTTGGGTAGAAGCTCGGTAGTGTTTTTGTGTGCTTAATAGGCGTTTGCAATCATCATAAAACTAGAATTCCGTGCCCAAATAAAAGATATCTTCCCGTCTTGTAATATAAAATCAGATGTTAATTTGCCATAGCAACAAGACTTTTTTTCACTATTTTACGATCTGACAAGGCGATAATATATTCCGCCAACAGGAAATATCCATACATTAAGCATGAAGATGAACCCGAAACGAAGAACAAGCGATGTCTGCATCGATGGTGATGTTGGTGCACTAAATTCGGGCCAGAATCATTCATGGATGTATGGGATGTGTGAAGCTAGTTTATGGATCTTCTATGTCCATTCTTAATTATGTACACTTTAAGGGAAGTCTAAGGTCAACTACTGTTAGGCCATTTAGGTAAAGCATCACATGATGGTTTTTAGCCACGTTGGCTTATGGGTAACTTTATCTACTAATAAACGTGTTCAGCAATCGATATATATCTTAAGTTAAAAAATATTCATTGAAATAGAGATTTTTTAATCTCTCAGACTTCAACTAAAAAATGATAAAAAGAGTATAAAATAATTGATTAGCTTATTAAAGTCGATCAACGGATCATTGCTGGGAATATTTCATTTTAATTTATTTTTGAACGTCATAATAAAATCGTGCACCATATTTTGCAACCACTATTGAAATAACGTTCACTAATGAGATAATTTTTTTAATAATGGTTGAGAATGCATTTCAAAACCAAAACCAGGTTGCAACTACTATTGAAATAACGTTCACTGATGAAATAGTTATTTCAATAGTGGTTAAAATGCATTTCAAAAGCAAAACTAGGTTGCAACTACTATTGAAATAACGTTCATTAATGAAATAATTATTTCAATAGTAGTAATAAATGGATTTCAAAAGCAAAACCAGGTTGCAACCACTATTAAAATAATGCACACTATTGAAATAATCATTCTTATAGTGGTTGAAAATGCATATCAAAACCACGTTTCCACACAGTATTTAAATCTTTTGAAGAAAATGATAATCAGAACAAAATGAGTGTAAAATAACTCTTATTCTTCAATTTGATTTAGGTATGTATATTTCGTAGACAATAGAGACATTGGGTCACACTGCCAACACTTATACTTGCTGATGATATAAAAATCATTTGATCCTAATTTTTATTTCAATAGTGGGTGTTATTTAATAGTGGTTTATTGAAATAACAACCATTATTGGAATAATTATTTCATTAGTGAACATTATTTCAATAGTAGTTTTTACCTAGTTTCGGTTTTGAAATGCATTCTCATCCACTTAGTATTGAAATAATTATTTCAACAGTGGGAATTATTTCAATAGTGGTTGCAATACACTACCATATCAATACACCACCGCTTACATCAGTACACCATACACCGCTAACACATCAGTACACCACTGTTAACATATCAGTAACCCATTGTTAACATATCAGTGCACCACTGCTAACATTAAAACCATCTCCGACTTCTCTAAACCACCCTCGACACCTCGGCATACTTGGAGCAAATAGACTGATATAATTAATAAAATATTTATTTAAGTTTGGTTCAACGTAAAACAGCGGTCCCGTTTCCGATGTATATCATAAGCTCATATAATGAAGTCCTGGAAAAAGTTTATATTTGCTCTTGTTTTGATAATTGCAAGCTGTTTATTTACATGTAACCATAAAAGGCTTCCGCTCTTGCATAATTGATCAAGGGTGAACCTCAAGTTTTCAGTAGTCTTTTTGTTGCTTTGTACACGTACTTTGATGGTGTTCTCCCAACATAAATAATTCTGTTTCATCCAATTTAGTCTATTTTATGGGCTAAATGTACCATAGGATTTGATATATCTGTATAAATTCCATTTCAAAACCTTGAGCAATTACTTGTTTGGTTGAAGATATAGAAAATCTACAACCTGAACACTTAATATGGAAAAATAAATGTACATGCACTGCTCAAACAACACTAGTGGGATCAGAATCTCCTTCTTTATTCTGTATTCATCTTTTTTTTCTCTCTTTATCTCGTTGATCTTGAACAACTCTATCATTGTTCGAGTCGAGTTTTGATTGACAAAAATACCAGCTAATATTTCCGATTACAAATACTAATTCTCAGATCTAGCTTGAATTTTGTTTGTGAATGACAATATACTGCTAATTGTGATCGTTGTGAGTGTTAATTATTATTTTTGTTTGATCTGTATTATGCAGTTTATGCACTTTTCTGTCGACCCACACAGGGCTATTTTATTTATGGTTGATTTTCATTATGATTTGATTATATAGCTTCTTTATCGCCGCCTCCACCTAACGACAGCAACAAGAAAAAATTAAATTATCGACAATTAGCAAATCCAGAGCAAAACAGAAGCAAGGAATGCTCAGTACAATTGTCATGATCTGCAGCCCCTACTCTAGATTACTAGGATTTTTTAACATCGATATAATTATCAATCTTTTTTGTTTTCAGAAATCATGAACTTTTGATCGCTGCCAGTTCTAATGGGATGTGACGTCAGCAAGTCAACAGACGTCATTGAAACTGAAGAAATTGAAAGTGATACTTTCGAGTTCACAGACACACAGATAGACACAATACGAAGCACATGGCCAATATTAGCGTGTGACATGACAGACATTGGCTCAAAGGTGTTTCTTAAAATTTTTCTGGAGGAGCCGAAATTGAAATACATTTTTTCTTCATTCAGGTAGTTCTGTTTGTATCCTTATATTAAACCAAAAGGAGTGGGCTGCAAAGGTTCCTAAAATGAAACAAAATAACCCCATTTTATAGTAAAATCTTTATGAAAGCTTGTGACTGCTAGTAGCGTTTTAGAACATTTAAAAATTTGTTTTAATTGTATATTTTCTATCTAAACATTATTTAAATTCCAATCTCCGAAATGCAGTGCTGCTGTACAACCCCTAATAACCCTTATTTTTATTGTTCCCTTTTGTTTGAATTTGTTTTTGCAATATTCTGTAGTTAAACCAATATTTCGTTCAACAATTGCTATATGAAAAAACGAGAAAATTGGATTAAGAAAGTAACCGATGGCTATACAGAATCTGGTCTGTTCTGGCTTAATGAATATGACAGACGATCAGAAAAAAAGCTCAGTTACAGGGGGTGATAATAATCCATAAATATTGTGATATTTTGTAGACTTACTTTTCCTGAGAACTTGCGTAATGAATAGGTGATGTCAAAAAAAACTGACAGAAAGTATCGATTTCATTCAAAAACCTTATTTGTACGTAAGGCTATAGCCACACTGATCAATGTTAAGTAAATACTATTGCCAGGATTAAAACGCATAAAGATTGATCTGTTTTCATTTTCTTATTTAACTTTCCTAAATGTTTACAAAAGGAGATATTTAATGACCTGAGTCTTCTGAAGAATTACAAAGCATTTTACAAATCATTTCAACTGATATTAAAACTTTCTAAAATCATCTCTTTTGACAGAATGATTAGAATAAAAAGGTTTTTTGATACAATAATTCCAATTAATATAATGGAAAATACCAAATATACTTACTAAAAACTGTTTAATCGGAATTGATTTCAGTTCGTTTTCAAAGGTCGAGAGAGATAGTAAAACCAGACATGCTGTTTTTCATGCTTAATGCATAGAGTGTAATCATTTCGCGCTGGACCTTTGGGATTCAGTGACACAGCATACAATTTTAATATTCATTAAATATTCATGGATCTAAGCTCTCATTGAAAATTAAAATATATTTGATAATGATGTATTTTTAATTTCCTCTTCAGTGACATGGAAGAAAACGAATTAGTGCATCATCCACTTTTCATCGATCACGTGACCCGATTTATGCAAATCATCGACTATTTAGTGGAAAACCTCGACCAAGAAAAATCTGACTTTGAACAAGCTTTGCTAATGCTGGGTGCCAAACATGCGACATTTCCAGGTTTTCAAGTATCTTATTTAAATCTTTTTACGAAAGCTCTCCTTGAGGTATGGGAGAGCGCAATTGGCGAAGAGTTCATACCGGAAGTGCAACAGTGCTGGGCACAGCTTTTTACCTACATTATGCGATACATTGTGCAAGGCTACGAACTTTACTTCAGTGAGTGCCAAGATGATATTGTGGATGAAAAATCTTAATTAAAACTTCTTTTTACTCTTTATCTGACTATATCACATTTAATAAAATATGATAATTTACAATCATGTGTCGAACAGCGAGAATGTTAAATAATGTACAAATAAAATGTATGCACAAACTTCAGTTTGCAATTCATTGTATGCAATCCAATTACATTTGAGCTGCATTTTTATTTTTATAAATATGATATCTCTTGTTGTACCGAACACACATTTTAAATGAAACCATTCAGTTATAAAAGTGCAAATCAAGTTGGAAGATAGTTGTTACCTAAATCAGCAATGTGTAATTTGGCATGGCTTTGGAAAATGTTAATAACATCGTTAAAATCTTTTATTTAAAATATTTATGAATGATCTCTACCGCTCTGATAACATTGTTTTAAATTTCACCGGTTGCGTGATTTTACCCACGTGAAGCTAGTCTCCTGTACAGAAGGGATCTGTTTTGTTATCATAAATACCTGCAGCTTTTAAAGCCTGACTGTCATGCAAGACTGATAATCAATAAACAATCAAGGTATTAATCTGATTTGTTTGATGATTTAGGTTTGTTCATCTATCGTTTGTATTGTTTCAAAGGCTGTGTTCAGAGTTTTCAGATGGCTGTTCAGCGTTTAGAAAAATACCCCTAACAGTCTTACCTGATCATTCCAAAATATCTTAAAATGATAAAAGTTGTTTAAAAGAATTCAAATTCTGAAGATTAATTTCATTTATGTGTAATATGGACTTAAATTGATGGTGTACAAACAGAACTTTAGAATTAAGAAAACGATGAAACTAATTTATTAGGATGTGCAAAAGAATCGCGGGAATAAAACGGAATCCTGACGATTTTTGATGATTCTTTGATCCCAGATATGAATTATGGATATGTTACGCCGGACTTTTCCGATGCAGATATACCTTTAGATGATGGGATTGATTATGATGGAGATCTTACCTCGAATCTTGAGGAGTTTCGGAGTAACAGTGTCATCAGTACCCGCAGTCTTTGTTCTGCACTGGGAAGTCATATGGAAATTAGAGCAAAAAGTATGTATGCGATAGACAGTATTTTCTGTATAGTGTGTTGAAAAACTGTACTTTGTGACCATTGATAATGTTTTTTACTGAAGAATATGTTATATTACCATCAATTCAAACAAACAAAATATTAATCATCCCCCATGTGGTTGATGAAAATAGGTAGTTAGGTGGTTGAATGATTTCACTATATCTTATCAAATCAAATGCAATGTAAATAAGACTCCATAAAAGAGCAATGCTCTTAAAAAGCACAACTTTATATTTCATATCATTAAAAGGTCAACACCTTCATGACGCCACCATTCCACCCCCACAAGATTACGAGGTCCCCCTCCATCAGCTTCGAGGATTGAGAGGGATGTACCGCACAGAAAACCTCCCACAGGCAAAAGGTAATGTCTGTTTACAGGAGGTATATTTATTTATACCAAAAAAGCAATATTTAGTATTCCAAAACATTATCATTCCATCAGTATGTATTGTTCTGGTGCTGAAATGTGCTTATACACGTAACTATAAGCGACAGTAATTGTGCACTGCAACTAATAATATCTGAACCTAATATAAGGAAAATAGAACAAATATACAATATGGATTATGAATTTTCAAATATTTTTGTACCAACAATGCAGACTAAGGCTATACATTATATTTTTAAAGTCCTAACAAATATTCAATGCCTATTTTCAAAGAGGAATATTCGTAAATTTTACTTTCCTAATCTCTATAAAACGTCACTGCGCTGCCAACAAACCGCATCTGTAAGGTCTCGGTAGTGAGTAATAAACTGGTATTGATTTCCCATGAGTAAGTCTACCTATTTTATGACTATAAGCCTATGACATTTCCACAAAAGCATTATCTGTCGGCATTTTTTTGAGACACTGCATTATTCGTAGATCTATTTACCAAAGTTTAGCTCTTAACAATTTTGACATTTTCGGATCATACAATTCTGATCTTACAAAAAAGCCATCAAACATTTCGCTGTCCATTGGCATCATATGGCTAATCCTAGAAAATGGAAATTGACATTTGCAATTCCAGCGCTATTAAATTCAAGGACAAGAAAACGGAAGCCTCGGAAAGAGTAAAGGAAGGCAGCTACTTACGTTTGTGAAATAATGGAATAATCCCATATAACATCTATCATTAAGCAGGAATTAGTTAATAGCAAGAATGAAAATGTTTTTGTTACGTGCACTGTATAATCTAGCGTTCCCTTGTCGGTTGCCGACTTTAATAAATATAAATTCAGATAGGTCAGTTATACACACTTGAAGGTGTAATGCTGTCAATTATTATACATATATACCGGTATCGCCAAAAACGCTATTCTGGATTTGTGAGGGTATATATAAGCATTGTCTATAGCACGCGATAATTCGTAATTGTATGCATGAACTTTTATGTGCTGTAAGATACATAACCCATAAAATCTCAAGTTACATTTACATTTTAAACTCTTATAAATATTTGACTCAACTAACACTACAATTTTCAGTATTTCATTTTTTTGTAGATGTAAAGACAAAAAACCTTATCAACTACTTATTAAAAAGCGAGTCTAGTGTGTACAGATCGAGGAAAGATCGCCCATTGCTTTCTGCGAGTGTTCGAAACACACAACGATCACAGAACAGTCCCTTCCACTTCCAGTTCCCTGTAAGAAGGGAACAAACTCTGCCTGCAATACACCTTAAATCTCGACTTAACAAAACAGTCACTCCAAGGAAGTTCCAAATTCCTAGAATAGAACTACATAGCCCTGATCCTATTGAAGCACATGCTTTTTCCAGCAGACTTCTTCGACGACCAGCTGTTAGACCTACAAGTCCTATAAGCGATTCAGACCCGTTGTTCTTCAAATTCACACAGACGATTGACCTTAAACCCAAAGTTTTTAAAACCCCACAGGAGCAAGAAGCTTATTACGAGGATAAATATCCTCTCCTTCTTCATGCTAACCCTAGCGATGCCAAAACACCACGTAAACCAAAGGAACCAAAGAGAGCGGAAGTTATCGAAGATCCGGTTTTAGAGCGCAGACTCACAGTGATATCTAAATTAGACCATCTTAAGGAAGCTGTAGATGGTTTAGAGAAAGAGACAGATGATTGCGAATTTCTTACAGAACTCAGGGACCCTGTTTTTGACCCGACAACATTTCCATGGAATCGACCGGAGCATAAACCTGATGAAGTTCCCCAAACCCCAGCTGTGACCCCCTTTAGTAGCCATAGTTCATCCGAAAGCTCTAGTCATTCGAGTAGTCCTCGAGATCGATGACGTGGAAATATGTTCGAGGCCATTAACACAATTTATACATTATTATTTAAAGATCTATTATACACACAATATATATCTGTAAAATAAAAGTTGATCATAATTAACATGTCAAAAATTCATTCAATCAATAAAAACCCTTTTGGGCCATAGTTTGAATCTTTTAATAAGAATCAGCAAAATTAATGAACTTTGAACAATTCATTTTCATCATATTATACACATGTTTAAGTATACAGCTTTGGCAAATTGTTTGCTATGTTTAAGATGTAGGTTTGATTATCTGTTAATCAAATATGAATAATGTTAAAAACTCTAAGAAACTTTGAAATCGCAAAACTTTCTGAAAATCAGTAGAAAAAAAACGTACGATTTTTATCACTTTATAAAACCATTCCCTCGATAAAATTAAAGATCAGTCTCTTTGACATCACAGACAACTACTTCTTCAATAAAAATGGAATTCGTAAATTTCCTTACCTTGTCATTGGTCATATGCAGATTTATTTTGTTAAAAAACATCAGTTCTGATTCTACACACAAGTACTGCGAGATTGATATTAAAAAATACACATGTTTCTCATTGACAATATTTAAATGTTTTTGGAGACCAGGTCTTCCAACAATCCGTGTACTAATCGTGTCCCGTTATTAGCATACCTGTATTCTTATGAAACAGAATTTATTCAAAAAACTTCTACATGAAAGGAAGTATTTTGCTGTATTTTGTTGTAGTCTCTAATTCAACAATTAAGGTAGCCCCATCCTCGGGTTATGAAAATCAGTAGTTAAGTAATTGAAAATGCCAACCAAACTGTCTCTGAATTCACAAAGTAATGAGTGAATTACTGGTGGTATTTCGTCAAGGTTCATCATTATAATTAATCATATTACATGTATATAGGGAAAATTACCGAATCTCAAATATTTTTTCAGGAAACGAGAATAAAAGCATCAGCTATGCATTTTATAATTATAAATTGATCAACAAAAAGGATCATGAACAGATATTTGGCTATAATAAAAAGAATCAGTTGTATTTCACACATTGTTTTCTGGTTTCTTTAAAGTTTTATTTTTTGAACGAAAAAAGGGGTTTGTTGAATAATTTATTAAAGTTATATACATGTATGCTGATATGTTTCAATCTATTGAGAGAGTTTGTTTCTAGATTCTTTAATTCACACGATTTGTATTATCCGCCAGTAAAGACAAGTCTTATGTCCTGCAACCTCATGTTGTGGAAAAAAAATGATCTATACTTTAATATACATTTAAAACATTGTATTCATTTGACGAACTGTCGAGGTCGCCCCCATCTTCGTTAGCCCATCGTCTGACATACTCCTCGGCGAACTTCATAATAGGTATGAAATTCTCTTGCAATTTGATAGATCGGGGCTTCCTGAATTTAGGACCTCTTAACATGATTGCTCTCTGAATTTCAGTTCTTTTAAAATGATTGGTGTTTTTGAACATAATTCATACAAGATTAAGATACTATTGTGTTTTAAGCTCTGACTTATTTCGCTGTAACTTAATAACCAGTCCAAATTGTTCTTGTGGACTACTATAGAAGATGCATACCATTTGTTCTTCGCTTGTAAAAATTATGCAAAAGCAAGAAATTGTTTAATGAATAAGCTATTTTCATTTGATAATTTACATGATATAGATGTACATTTAATGCTATGGGGTGATGATTCTCTTACTAATAAACAAAATGCTGAACTTTTCAAGATTATTCAAGCTTTTCTAAATGAATGTGGTGTTTTTTTTTTGTTTTTTTTTTTTAAAAAGCTTAATTTTTTACCATTGTAAATCTATATTTGTTCATTTAAAGAAGATCTTTTTTCTATTAAAACTATGTACATATAGTAGACCATATATATATATATATATATATATATATATATATATATATATATATATATATATATATATATATATATATATGTGTGTGTGTGTGTGTGTGTGCGTGTGTGTGTGTGTGTGTATTTAATTTGGGCAATTTCGCAAAATGTTGTATTAGGAGAAGACTATCTAAGTTTTTGAACTGGTATCCAATGGGTGAATTAAAAAAGAAAATGACCAGACACATATTTTTCAACCTGCACTAAAAGTACAGGCAATGGGAATAAATTTCTATGTCTCAGCATATGTCTGTAGATAGTGTCTAAATACCTGCCAAATATCTCATTTTCACCTCAACAGAACAAGTTCTGATATAATTTTCGCTTCACGATTCTACTTTAAAGACACCCATGTTCTTGGTCAAGAGTGCAACAAATATATTAGAATTATTACTGATCAAATATGAATAAATATAAAGAAAACAATGATGAGTAGAATGTTTCTGGTTGACCCCAGTTGCTTACAGTGTTTGTCCTGTGAAGGAAAATATACTATAAAATATATTTTATCTTCTAAATATATATTTTATCTAGCTTTTGAACATAAATAGGGAATAATTCAAAGATATAAAGCCAAGTTTAAATACTTTCATGTGTTTTAATTATGAAGTATTGGACTATAAATATTGCACAATTTCGTTACCACTTGATGTTGCCGACACTTTATGAATTTTTGTGTTCTGTGGTTTTTATTTTTAATTTTACTGCAGTCAGGAGTGCAACAAAACTGTTTTATAATTATCAATGATCTTCATCTATCCTTACTAAAAAATAAATTGAAAAAAAATGTTTGATACTATTTGATGTTCAAAACATTATGTCTGTCAACTAATTACAGACATTCTACAGTCAATTCCGAGACTATTTTTTCATTACTTAACACAGACTTTTACATACAATGTATATATATTACACGTTGCAAATAGTCATGTTTTGAAGTCTTGAAAATTTGAAAAACTTGCCGTAAATGATAAAAAATATCAAAAGGGTGAACTGATTCACCAATTAAGAATGTGTTATTGTGTGTTATAATTTGTAAAACAATGTTAAATAAAATACATATCAGATGTCAGGAGTGCAAACAATAATGTAACATAGGGTCACTTCAAAAATCTAGTATTTTTTTGTAAGAAAACTTGTATGTCAAAATTCTCTTTTGGCTTAAATTTAAAGAACTGACTTAAATGGACAAAAATGATTTGGGGGAAATTCTGTTGTTTCATATTTCTTTCATATTAAAATTTTTCAAACCAGAATTGAAAAAATAATGTAAAATAACGATCAAAAAGCCAATTTTTCCACTTATACAAGAGAAGACACTCAATCAAGGTTTAGATCTAATCATTTATATCCCACATACCATTTTGAAGCAAAAAAAAACTATTATTTCTTTTGATTAAGTATTTCAAAAAGTCTTTTAGGATATATTGATATTTTCTTTTTTCAAATAAAGTTTTACTAATAAAAATTCTGAAACTTTTTTATCCAATTGTCTTTTCTATTGCAACTTCAGGAATTTTAACTAGAATGCATGTACAATATGATGATATAAGTGAAAAATATGTTATGGGTTGTTGAATTTTTTTTTTTTTAAATTCAATTTGATGGCAATTTTTTTTAATTCACCCTAATCCTTTTGACTCTGTCAATAAAATATGTTCAATTCATATATACATTGTACAGTTTGTTTCTAGATTCTTTAATTCACACGATTTGTATTAACCGCCAGTAAAGACAAGTCTTATGTCCTGCAACCTCATGTTGTGGAAAAAAATGTTCTATACTTTAATATACATTTAAAACATTGTATTCATTTTGACAAAGTGTCGAGGTCGCCCCCATCTTCGTTAGCCCATCGTCTGGCATACTCCTCGGCGAACTTCATAATAGGTATGAAATTCTCTTGCAATTTGATAGATCGGGGCTTCCTGAATTTAGGACCTCTTAAAATGATTGCTCTCTGAATTTCAGTTCTTTTAAAATGATTGCTTTCAGATCATCACTTTCAACATTTACATCACCAGTAATGATGTGTCCAGTAAGGCTATAATCGACAGAAGAGGAAGAACAAGAAATCTTTCGAGGATTTTGTTTAAGATGGCCAATATCTAGGTACAGTAGAGTTTGTTTGTAATTGAAAAGTTTGAATTTTGAAGTTTGAGTATTTGTAACAAAAACATGTAATAACTCTCAAGCATAATTATATTCCTATTTTATTTTCACATTATCATTAGGGTACTGTTTTAGAAATAAAATCTCGAAGTCCTAACCCATCCCTCCATATTATGGATCTGTCCCGGGTATATTAACATCAATAAAAATAATGAAACTTGGAATTTTCAAATATACTTTGTTAAAAATCATTCTGAATCTACATACAAAATCTACACTCTGAAGTTGATACTAAAAAGATGCCAGAGTTCCTCATTGAGTCTTAGAATCTGTTGGAATTCTCATAGGAAGAGATTGTTCTCCGTTATTAGCCGACCTGTTTTTCTATTCTTATATACTTAAATATGTAGAAATTAAATTTTAAAAAATCTTCATTCATACATTTGTATTGTTTTAATCTGTGGAAGGTACCAAATACGAAATGTTTACTAAGTACAGCAGCAATAATCAACAGGTAAATGGACAAAATGAAATGTGTGTGACCCAGAGAATGTATCATAAGTAGGGACCTCTCTCGAGATTCAATCTTTACCCTTACCAGAATCTTGCCTCAGAAATTATTTTTTATGAATTAAGGGGGAATTGAATGCACTCATTTGACCACACTCACTCCGGGTTATTATTTACAAGGTAATGGTTTAAATACAGGTCGATCCCGTTTTCTCTTATTTGTAGTATCTAATACCCTACGTCTTCTTTTACGCTTTTCTGTATTTCTTCACATGTAGATTATGATAATGCATACTTTTGACTCGATGTTATATATTGTTGTCGAAATACTTATTAGGAAAAAAGTATTGTTTTGCTCGATACTTCAGTTTTACAACAAAAGCCTGCCTTTTATGCTTTTTAAAGACATAAGCCGTGTACTTTCTTTTCAGATGTTGTCATATACCTGTTAATATGGGAGATAACCGT